ACATTTGAAAAGAAAATATGAACAGTATACAGACACTAAATGTAAAGTTCAATCATGTAATTATAATACCATTTCAATGTATAAAATAATAATAAATGCTCTTAACATGAACAATAACATCATTAGTAGTTACATGTATATTTATGGCAACATACATGGATTTGGTTTATTACATTCTTAGTAATGCAGAATGGGTGAATTTCAGGGACACCACTATAAAAATAGCACAAGAAATATGTGGAACTAAAAGGAAAGGTAACAGGGTGTAAGCTCTGAGCATGGTGGTTTGAAGAAATGAGAAGAATAGTGCAAAATAAAAAGAAAGCCTGTGGTATTTGGCTAAGGAGCAGAACTGAAGAGGATTACATAACATACAGGATCATTTGACGAGAAGTAAATTGAACTATCAGACAAGCAAAAATTCTTGGGAAAAGTTTGGAAGCAAGCTGGCTGAAGAAGAAAGAACAGCAGTGAAAAACTACTTTGAAAAATTGAAAGGCATAAGAAATAGGAACGAAGAATACGACATAACAGACATTATAAATGATGAAGGACGTCAACCTTTAATAGAACTTTACAAAATTTTAGCAAGGTGGAGTAATTACTTTGAATCATTACTTAGCTGCAAAAAAAAAAAAAAAATCAGATGAACCCAGGGAAAAACATAAAAACTCGGAACTAACGGCAGAGGAGCTAGAACCAACTATTTTATTAGATGACATAAAATATGTCATTCATGTCACCCCTAGGCTAAGGGTGACAGGCATTGATGATCTACCTGCAGAGGCCATCATGGAAGTGGGTGCAACATGATTGAAGAGAATATTTCAGGTGGCATGGGAAAATCAAGACACACCATCAGATTGGCAAACTGCTGTCATCGTCCCGCTAGGAAAAAATAGAGGAAGTAAGAGGGACTGTACTAATTACTGAGGTATATCACTTCTCAGTCACACTGGGAAAATGTATGCTAAGATCTAATAAAGAAGGATAACACCAACGATACAGTATCAACTTTCAGAAGCACAGTTAGGCTTTCAACGCAACAGAAGTTACACAGATGCCATCTAATACATTGAGACAACTATCAGAGAGAGAAAAAAAGAACACGATAAGACCTGTTTGTTGACATTAATAGGCCAGGAAAAAGTCTTTGATAGACTCAACAGGAACATGTGGGAATGTATGGGGAAAAGGGGAATCAGCAATCATCTAATTAATATTTGCAAAAGCCTATACACACGTAGTAAATGCCGCATAAGATCAAAGGCAGGATTGTCAAAAACTTTTATAGTGAACTGTGGTGTGCGTCAGGGCTGTGTACTATCACCACTTCTTTTTATCACATACACTGATACAGTATGTAAGGAAACAAACATTAATCATGAAGAAGATATTACTGAAATACTATTCGCCAACGACTGGGTCCTCACAGCAGAAAGTATGGAATGCCTACAGAACCACCTAAATGAAATTAATAACAAAGGGGAGGAAGATAATGGTGATAGGAAAACATAAAGACAATTTAGAAAAAATAATTTAAAAAAAAAAAGCCTTAAGACAAATAGAGGAATTCAAGTTATTGGGAGCAATTTTTACACCCGATGGAAAAATGGACAGAGAAATTAGCTCGAGATGAACCAAAGCTAATTAAGTACTGGAAAAAAGACTAAAGTCCAGAAGTGGACAAACAACCAGAACTTCCCACTGGAGTTTACAGCTACTGAATGCAAAAAAAAAAGAAGACTTACACTCAAAGAATGAAGCAGAGACCAAAGGGCTTCTTTCTATGAGTGCCAATCGATACATGTTAATTTATTTATCATACTTTTTCTATGGCCTCAGTGGTTCTTAGGCTGTTTATTTCTACATGTCACATATACTTAATGTTTTACCTCCTAACGCTTTGCCTCAGAAACTCTTTAAACAAAAAAATAAAAATAAAACGTGACTCTAGGAACCCCTCCCAAAAAAAAAAAATCCTTTCATAAGCAACCATTCGGCATGGGTCACCAATACATTTGAAAAAAAACCAAATCTACACTTTAAAAACAAAATTTGAAATTAAAAATATATATAGGGTGTAATGAAAAAACATCAACAGGGGTGAAGCAGTAAATGAAATATTTTCCCAGCGGCCTCAATAATGTATAAGATGACTCACACTGTGACCCTTTCTGAATTCCAACACTAGGGCTACAGACAAATTATGACATCAAAATAGCTTGACAAATGCTATTTTTAGTAAATATATTCACATCCGTAAAAAAAAAGTAAAGATCCCTTTTCACACATCCGTACCTCCTAAATACTGCAGAGGTGCAAACAGAACCAAAACACCATAAACTAGGCTTCTTAGTGACAAACCATGCCAGTCAGGTGGCATCAAAGGGAAGGAGTCATTTCCCCAAACTATTTAATATAGTAAATTACTTGGTTCAATATTCAGACATGGTCTGGTAAAATAAACAATGAAGGCTCATGACAGAAGCTATTTGAGATTATTTACTGCAAACCCCCCCCCCCCCCCCCCCCCCCAATGATGGTAATGGCTTTGGATGATGATGATGAATCAAGACACATACAGTGAGTTTCCTGGTACAGAAAGAGTTCAATTAATCATGACTTTAAACAAATGTAGACATATAGTTGAAATTTGTATACGTCTATTTTAGTTAATATCAAGTGCTGAATTCAGGAGATGTGATAACAATGTCAATACTATTTCAATACCATAAGTATATAAATATCTGCAATATTCAAAATAACTCTAGCTATAAAAATAGTTTATAGGCAGTTATTTAAAACATTTGTGCCATTTATCTGACATTTAAAAAAAAAGACAGCTTGAGTGATAACAGGCATCATTATAAAGATGCAGTCCAAAACTATGTTTACATCTTCCATCGACTGTTATCCATCAGGGAGAGTATGATGCACTTAATCTTTGAGATTTATCATCATTTATGAAGCACCAGGAGAACAGCATGACAACTGATCAGTGGAAAAAGGGGTAGAGGCAGACCAAGAGAGATGATGCTGGATGGGTTAAAATGATGACATGGAGGGATATCATCAAGAGAGCTGTTCCAGTCCACCAGGAATCGTGATCTGTGGAGACGCATAAGCACCTACGCCAGTTGACAGGGCACATGATGATGATGAAGCATCATTCTTTTTCATTTTTTGTGTTCACTCTTAACAAGTGGCATTGTTGTGTTGGGGTGTAAAGCTAAGCTGCAATATTTGTGTCTTTTCCTAGATAACATTTAATTTCAGTACACTCACAATTAGTTGCCTTTTATGACATGTTTTCTAAGGGACAGTGGGTCAATTCTCAGTCCCTCCAGTGGGGTCTCAGGACCCAGGTCGAAGTAGGATGTGCTAGATCTTTGAAATTAATCATCAATTTCTGTCTATCAGTCGAAGTATGATGTGCTGGGTCTTTGAAAAAAGTCATCAATTTCTGTCTATCAGTCAAAGTATGATGTGCTGGATCTTTGAAAATAATCATCAATTTCTGTCTACCATTTGAAGTATGATGTGCTGGATCTTTGAAATAAATCATCAATTTCTGTCTATCAGTCAAAGTATGATGTGCTGGGTCTGCAGTCCAAAAGTGGATGAACAACCAGAACTTTCTGCCAGAGTTTACAGCTGGTGAACGCGAAGAAGAAGAAGATCTGATCCCATGGCTTTCGGATCTGCAGGCGAGAGTTTAGCCACTACACTACCGGGGCTTCCATATATTATATATACAGACACATATATTCACATAGATATATATTTACACACACAAATAAACACACACACATTCACAGTTAAACCTCGTTAACATGAATTCCAAGGAATCGAAAAAAATTATGTCTTTTTGTTTAAAAAACCATTGCTAACCAAGAATAAAAGGTGTGTTTTGAATAACACGTCCCCACTGTGACCAGAGCTGTGTTCATCTTAAGCTAGATCAAACTAATGAAGTTGTACTGTACTTAAAACTATTGTTCATATTCTCTATTTCATTTCTACGTTGCACATTTTGTGTACCTAATTTCACATTTCCCTTAAGAAATGGTCTTCACAATTCAGTTGAGTTGAGTTTTGAGTCAAGAATTGGCATCATAGCACTCAGGGCAGTCCCACTGATGCTCCGTCCTCCTCTTTAGCAGCCAGCGCAGAGCTCCAATACAGATGGAACCGGTCACAATCTGGTTAAAAGTCTGTCTTGCCTTTCCTCTGAGAGTAGTGAGCCGGCCAGACCCTCTGGTTACACCCAGGTGCCTCATTCTCTCCGGGCCATAATAATCTTGTTTCTCCACTGATTCCGTTGCTTGTTCCCAAAGGGCCTTGACCACATCTGCCTTGTCATGTATAAATTCACCACTTAAAAAACAGTTAATAAAAATACAACCCTTTAAAATTGTAACCTTATAAAGAATAAAAATGAGCAGCAGCTGACCAGCAAGAAGATGGGCAGAAGATACAAGAAACACTTTGAGTAGGAAAGTGTATGAGGGTGGAAGGGCTGGCAAGAAACCAAGTTCCTTTCAGGGGGTGGGGATGAGAGGGATATTTTGTAAATGACTGCTAGATGATGATGAATTAAAAAAACATTTAAAAAAAAACATTTAAACAGCAAAGATATAAATCTAATAAATAACATGAAGAAGATGAACAGTGTAGTTATTTGTATTGCATTTGTGATAATAAACAAACTGTGTGCTGGGCAAGCAAGCAGTTTGATTGAGTAAGACCTTGTTAACACGAATTCGAAGTCATTAAAAATAGTCTGTATTTGAAAAAATCTGTGCGAACTGGAGAATCAGGAGTGTGTGAAAACAAATGTGCACTAATTAGAGGTTAACTGCTGTATTATGATTAATGCACCCCTGCAGAGACTAAGTTTTTTTCAACTATGTTCATTGGAAGTAAGGTCGTGTTAACAAGGTGTTAGTGTATTTAGATCATGCGGGAACCAATATACCAGTGAGAAACCAATGCTGCTAAGATTTGTAGAATTTAATGACATCAACAATTGCCTGCCGACAGATTGGGCACAATCCATTCTCCCCACGAATTGTCATTGCGCAGTGAAAGCATAAACACATATGTCCGCAGGTGTAAAGAACACAATTGATCACACGTTCCCAGCAGACTTTGCAATCAGCAACCTCAACATCTGAGAGAGGCTGTGAACTACTGGACAGAGGTGTGGAAGGAGCTGATGCTGTGTGGCTAAAGGATGATTCGCTGGCAGTTCCCCCAAAAGAAGATAAACATGATAAAGGAATACTGCTACTGCTGCTTCGTAAAATGTTCATGCCAGCAGATCCTGAGCCTCCACTAACTGTAGGAGGCATGTTTACAGCAAGAGCTGACATTCCATAAGCTGCGGTCACTAAACCAGGAGACATATTCTCGCCAGAGGGGACACTACTGTAACTGCTCAATGACTGTGATCGGGGTAAACGCCCTTGACATGGATCTAGTGTTGTTCCTGAAATTAAACAAATAAAAAATTTTGGCCTTAAATAAATATTATGCAGGAAAAAAATATATATATATATAATCTGTTTGTGCAATGAAACGAATTAGCATTTGGAAATTAAAATACTGTTTTTTTTGGGGGCTCAAATCATCTGCTGCATTTATTTTTATCAAAATGCAATAACATGTTCAGTACAGCACCTTTGCATTGTCTCATCAACGTTCACATCAGCTTTTCTCTTCCTAATTTTTTTCAGTCCATCTATTTCCTATCTGAGAGCCTATTTGATGTTTCCCTTTGAGTCTCCTCAGAATGTGTCCAATATAATGCCATCTTCTCTGTCTTAAAACTGTCAATACTAGTGGTTGCCGAGACATTTCTCTTATTTCTTCATGCCTCTTGTATTCATCCCACTTTATGTTCACCATTTTCCTCAGGCATTTGTTTTCAAATGTATTTAACTTTCATTCCATATTTTGTTTAGTGATTCTCCAACTTTCACTAGCATTTATTAAAACTGACATAATATTAGAATTGAAAATCCCCGTGTGGGTTCCGGGGCCCTATTATAGGGAAAACAAGAATAGACCTACTGCCTACCTTAAAGCTTCTCGTAAGATTAAACTAATTAGGAGCTTCTTTCAAATCAGAATGCATCTGCCTTAGAAGCAAGGAACTAGCAGTCTGCATACAAATGAGTCAGATCTGTAAAACGGATGCACACGCAACACTCAGGTTCTGAAACAGGACTGCAGTCCAAAAGTCGATGAACCAGAACTTTCCACCACAGTTTACAGCTGGTGAACGCAAAGAAGAAGAAGAACAATTGAAAATACATAATTTGGTTCTTAACTTACCAACAAGTTTGATTTTCTGAATGTTCCCGTATACATCAAAGAAAGCCCATAATGGCGTTGAGATGTCAACATGCATCAATGTCACAGAAGCTTGATTGTTTCTGGCATACCTCACCTCACCTGTGGGGAAGTTTATATTTAAAATTGTCACTGTCTAACAGCACTGGATTTGAACAAGAATGACACAAACAGCAACATGCATAATTTATTGTCCTTCTAATTAAAATTAGAAGAGCATCTTTTCTTTAGCAACATATGGATGTGAATTGTTGACTACCTCCAAGTCCTTAAGGAAAAAAAATAGGGGCTTTAGAGCTGAAATGCTATAGAAAGATTTCCAGAATACCATGGACAAAGAGGAAATAAAAATACTGACATTCTAACAGATCTGAACATCAAGGAAGATTGGCCAATAAACATAATCTTGTCTCAGAAGATAAGACATATCAAGCACCACTGCGGACAGGGAAAAAAAAATAACAGCAGAAAGCATAGTGCCAGGAAGGTGGAGCAGAGGTGAACCAACACAAAGATCGGAAGAGGATATAAGTGACTCCTTGGATATAATGGTGCAAGAGGTGAAACAGCTGACAAGAGTGAGTTTCTTTCAGGAAGACTGCGATGAGAGCAATGTTTTATCAAGAATCTACCACAAGATGATGGTGAATTAAAAAACAACTGCTTTTTTAAACATCTGCCCTTGTAAAACGGGCAGATACTTTCGAGTTCAGTTGATTTTGTTTATCAGTTAAACCAGTGATTCCTAAACTGTGTGCCGCGGCGCCCCAGGGAGCCGCAACCTCTTCACAGATATATTCAAAGATATATAAGTTTTATTTTTTGTTTTTTATCTTTTACATATGAACAGTCATATCTTTATTGAAAAATTTTTATTGGAAAAAAAAGGTGCCGCCACTAAGAAAAGTTTGGGAAACACTGAGCTGAAGGGATTTTTTTTATTTTGCTTTATTTTGTTGAACTATTACTGTATTAGGCACCTGATTAGATACAGAAAACTATGCCAAGCAATAAACTATACAGTGTAGTGTTTGTATCCTCCTTGCTCATAATTACAGCAGTGAACACAGCCTTAAACATTAGATTCCAATGGTAGTAGAATTTTACAAGTAAATCAAAGTTTTTGTTCTATCATGGCAGGGTTATTCAATTGGTGCCCTGTGGGCCGAATCAGGCCTGCAGATGCCAACAAGTGGTCTGTGGATTATTGCCGACTGTATAAATGATCTCTCTTGGGTTCATGCCTCTGGCCTGTGATGATCCCCATTTTCAACACTCTGGCCCCAGAGTGAACTAGTTGAATAGCCCTGCATTATAGTATACAGTGGTTGTTCACGTTACAAGATTATCAGTAGAATTCTTTAGAGGTACACTTACGGGGAATTAAAAGCGAATGATAAATGTTTCAAAGACAAAGATACTAAAAACAAGAAATAAAAATGAATGGGGAACAAACCAATAAAGATTATTCACCAGAAAATGATAGCATCAATATTCTAGGTAGAAAGCAGTGGACCAGGATCTGCAAACACTGTGGACTCAGAGCACACTTTTACCAAATGGTTCTCAGAGACTAATATCTGCACCTGTAGGACACCAAAGCACTCTACACAGAACACTCAGAATTTGCCAGAGAGTTAATGGAATTGTAACTCACAGAAGCAACTCCCAATTATTTGTGAAAGCCCCAGAAACACTGACCATTGGTCATGCCAGAACAGACAACACAAAGGCTGGAAAATGATAACCTCCCAATTAACTCAAAACCTGCGAGACACTGTCTATAGCTCAGTCTAAACAGACACATTAAATGCCGAGAAGATGCTGAAACTGAACTATGAAAACCTCAGACACTGTCCACATTTCAGCCTGAACAGACATCATAAATGCAGAGAAGATGCTAAAACTACCAACAAGCTGTGGAAACCTCAGACACTGTCTATAGGTCAGCCTGAACAGATATCATAAATGCAGAGAAGATGCTGAAACTGCAAATTAACTATGAAAACCCCAGACACTATCCACATTTCAGCCTAAACAGACACCATAAATGCTGAGAATATGCTAAAACTGCCAAATAACTGTGGAAATCGCAGACGCGCTGACCACAGCCCATACCAGACGTCACCATAAACACTGAAAAGATGCTAAACCCTAAGATAACTGTGAAAACCCCAGTCACAGTCCATAGCTCATGTCAGAACAGACACCACAAATGCTGAGAAGATGCTAAACCCTAAAATAACTGTGAAATCCCCAGTCACAGTCCATAGCTCATGTCAGAACAGACACCACAAATGCTGAGAAGATGCTAAACCCTAAGATAACTGTGAAATCCCCAAACACAGTCCATAGCTCATGTCAGAACAGACACCACAAATGCTGAGAAGATGCTAAAACCCCTAGATAACTGTGAAAACCCCAGACACAGTCCATACCTCATGTCAGAACAGACACCACAAACACTGAGAAGATGCTAAAACCCCTAGATAACTGTGAAAACCCCAGACACAGTCCATAGCTCATGTCAGAACAGACACCACAAATGCTGAGAAGATGCTAAAACCCCTAGATAACTGTGAAAACCCCAAACACAGTCCATAGCTCATGTCAGAACAGACACCACAAACACTGAGAAGATGCTAAAACCCCTAGATAACTGTGAAAACCCCAGTCACAGTCCATAGCTCATGTCAGAACAGACACCACAAACACTGAGAAGATGCTAAAACCCCTAGATAACTGTGAAAACCCCAAACACAGTCCATAGCTCATGTCAGAACAGACACCACAAACACTGAGAAGATGCTAAAACCCCTAGATAACTGTGAAAACCCCAGTCACAGTCCATAGCTCATGTCAGAACAGACACCACAAACACTGAGAAGATGCTAAAACCCCTAGATAACTGTGAAAACCCCAAACACAGTCCATAGCTCATGTCAGAACAGACATCACAAACACTGAAAAGATGCTAAAACCCTAAGATAACTGTGAAATCCCCAGACACAGTCCATAGCTCATGTCAGAACAGACATCACAAACACTGAGAAGATGCTAAAACCCTAAGATAACTGTGAAATCCCCAGACACAGTCCATAGCTCATGTCAGAACAGACATCACAAACACTGAGAAGATGCTAAAACCCTAAGATAACTGTGAAAACCCCAGACACAGTCCAAAGCTCATGTCAGAACAGACATCACAAACGCTGAAAAGATGCTAAAACCCCTAGATAACTGTGAAAACCCCAGACACAGTCCATACCTCATGTCAGAACAGACACCACAAACACTGAGAAGATGCTAAAACCCCTAGATAACTGTGAAAACCCCAGATACAGTCCATACCTCATGTCAGAACAGACACCACAAACACTGAGAAGATGCTAAAACCCCTAGATAACTGTGAAAACCCCAGATACAGTCCATACCTCATGTCAGAACAGACACCACAAACACTGAGAAGATGCTAAAACCCCTAGATAACTGTGAAAACCCCAGACACAGTCCATAGCTCATGTCAGAACAGACACCACAAATGCTGAGAAGATGCTATACTAAAAAATAAAAAGTAAAGGACCTTTATACACCACTGGCAAATCAAGCACACTGTGCTAGAACTATATTTCTATAGACTAATCAGCAACTGATGGCTGATGTAGTCGACATCTTGCCAGCTATCCTTATTTTCAGGATATCACCTTCGACCCTGGGCAAGTCTGGGATCCAAAGTGATTTTTATTTTAAAAATCTTCCTCCATGGAAACAAAAAGTGAAGTTTAACAACAACAACAAAAGTAAGTAAAGGACCTTTTTCAAACCAGAGGCACACTGGGCATATAAGGCTAGACTTATGTATTTTTATACAGACCAGCCAGCACATCATGCCACCTGCCTTTACTTCCCAGGAATTACCTGGTAATCATTTAAGGCTGGGTCGACCTGGAAGCTAAGATTACTTCTTTATGTGAATTAAAGCCAAGACCTTCAGATGAGCATAAAACCACTACCTTATCATAGCTCCAAAGGAAATACAGTATTCACATACAAATTAAGCCTGGCCACTCCCTCAAAAGTCGGCTCTGTGGCTAAGTCGATGCGAACGCTTCGTAATGCCGGATTCAATCCCAGCTGCGGGCCATGCGCCTTGCGTTGGTTTCGACAGTGGTATCAAGAAAGCCGACCGTCCAGAAAGAAATGGCAAACTACTGGACGTAAATTTGCCTAGAAAAACCACACAACAGCCAGGGGCTGCTGGGGTTGGTTCTGCAACGTCCTGTAAAGGATATGCAACTAACCTTAACTCCCCCAAAAAAATTTACAGGAAATTATCAGAGACACTTCTACAAGCGAAATTACTGGCAAACTTTCACCTACCCAGCTGAGATATATGAAAACTGAACTCGTCTCCTATTTCCGGGTTGCGACACACATCTTTGTTGACCACCCAGTACTCCTGACGATCTAGCAACAGGTCAGAATCATCAGGCAAGCTGCTTGGATCCACAGTGGATGGGTCGCAGGCAGTTACACCAAAACCCAACCCTCCAATGAACGATCTATCTACTGCCAGCACCTGCAAGGAAAATATTTACAAAAACGTAAAGTAAAGGTTCCTTAACACACCAGCGGTGCGCATCAGGCATGTCAGGCTAGACCCATATTTTTATAGGTCAATGAGCCCTGAAAAATATCTTATGCAATAAATCACTCTCATTTAATGTCAGAAAGAGGGTGCTAAAATGTTATATAGCACCTGTTCTGCTGTATGGCAGCGAATCTTGGAATGTCAATAAACAAATTTGGAAGCAACATGGATGTGGTTTCTGAGACGAATGTTACAAATACCTTGGACGGCCAGAGTAAATAACAATAAGCTTGAAAAAAGATAATAAAAGTAGATCTCTATATACTAAAATAAAAAAGAGACAAAACGCTGTTCTTTGGCCACATATTGAGAAGAGAGACATTGGAGAACATCGTGACAACTGGAAAGATCAGTAGAAAAAGGGGTTAAGGCAGACCAAGAGAGATAATGCTGGTTGGGCTGAAACGATGGCATGGAGGGATATCATCAAGAGAGCTGTTCTAGGCAACCAGGATCGTGGTCTGTGGAGATGCATGAGTGCCTATACCATTTAGCTGGGCACATGATGATGATGAATCAGCCCTTAATGGGTGATGTGGTCAACATCACGCCGGCTGCCTCTAATTCCCAGGGCTTAGCCTGGTACCCATTTAAGGCTGGGTCGACCTAGGGGGGGGGGGGGGGGGGGGGGGGGGTGGGGGGGGGGGGGGGGGGGGGGGGCAAGATCATGTATGGGGAAACATTCCAGCTGCACATGGATTTGAACCTATGACCTTCAGATCTGCAGATGAGTGTCTAGCCGCTACACCATGGCGGCTGCGTTACAAACATGAGTCATGAGTTATTAGCTGGGTTATCCTCAGGACACTGTGGACATGTCCGCAGATGCTCAACATTACACATCAGAGTCTAATGGCTAATAGTTCTCAGGTGGGTAACTAGACATCTTGTTTGTCTAGTGTGCCTCGTCTGTCTAGAGTCTAGATTGTCTAGTCTGCCTGGTGGTGACAATACTCCAAATTCTCAAAACTGTATGTGGCACTGTTGTGGATGCATTGCCCCCACTCCCCTTTCCAACCTATCTCTCTATTTATAGTATCACCTTCTTCTTCTTCTTCTTCTGTGTTCAACCTTAAAATGTTGCATTGTGGTTTACAGTCAGGCTTTGATATCTACATCTTTCAGCCTAATACATCCAATTTCAGCAAAACCATGATTAGTCACCTCTTACAACATGCTTGTTAAGGGATGGTGGGACCCCCCCCCCCCCCCCCCCCCCCCCCCCCCACAGTTGGGGCCCACAAGGGAAGTAGCCTTACCTGAATGACTAGAGTCTCTCCACAGTGTAAAGGTCTGGCAGTAAAAACAAAAGCATTGCAATACTCATGCTTCAGTCTTGTAGCCAGAGTGCGGTCGGAACTCACTAGGACATTCCGTCCTAGCAAGTGGTGAAAATGAAGTGGGGTGAATGGCAATCTGGCATGCCAGTGTACCCTAGATGCAGATTCCAGCGCTGATGTAGAGCTGAGGCCAGTACTTGATGACAAGTTTGAAAAGTTGAAGTGGTTGCAGTCTAGAGACTGAGGGCTTGTGTCAAACTGTGAAGCACTGGCAGGTGGCTCAATTTCTGGAACAGTTAATGGAACAATCAGCTTCATTGCATTATCTGTGTCTCTTTTTTATCTTTCTTCATTCCTCTTTTCTCTACATTCTCTCTCCCTAACTATCTCTTATTCCCCTTTCTCTGTCTTTTCTCTAATATCCTCTCCTCTCTGTCTTCCACTGTTTCTCTACCTACCTACCTACCTACCCACCCACCTATCTCTTTACCTAAATACCTACCCATCTATCCATCTATTTATCCATCCATCCATCTATCTATCCATCCATCCATCCATCCATCCATCCATCCATCCATCTATCTATCTATCTATCCATCTACCTATCTACCTATCTATCTATCTATCCATCTACCTATCTACCTATCTACCTATCTATCTACCTATCTATCTATCTATCTATCTATCTATCTATCTATCTATCTATCTATCTATCTATCTATCTATCTATCTATCTATCTATCTATCTATCTATCTATCTATCTATCTATCTATCTATCTATCTATCTATCTATCTATCTATCTATCTATCTATCTATCTATCTATCTATCTATCTATCTATCTATCTATCTATCTATCTATCTATCTATCTATCTATCTATCTATCTATCTATCTATCTATCTATCTATCTATCTATCTATCTATCTATCTATCTATCTATCTATCTATCTATCTATCTATCTATCTATCTATCTATCTATCTATCTATCTATCTATCTATCTATCTATCTATCTATCTATCTATCTATCTATCTATCTATCTATCTATCTATCTATCTATCTATCTATCTATCTATCTATCTATCTATCTATCTATCTATCTATCTATCTATCTATCTATCTATCTATCTATCTATCTATCTATCTATCTATCTATCTATCTATCTTTATATATCTATCTATATATATCTATCTAAATACACTTCTCCTTGCCTTCTTGGAGCATCAACCAATTACCCCCCCCCCCCCCCCCACCCCCACTTCCCACAGGCTGCTGCCTGAGGGTCTGACCACCCAGAGATTCACAAATCTCGTTTAGGAAGGCAAAACACCAGGACAAGCCCCAGAAACCCCAGCTGAACCTCTCAGAAAGTTATCAATTGGACACACACACACTGAACCTAGTTAGCCTGCGCAGGTAAGGAACATTAGGGTGATGGTAAACGGGTGTAAAGGCTGCAACAGTTATCCCATCATGCACGTTGGAAGCATCAGCTCCCGGATGCTGCCCTTCTGGCCTCTAAGGGGTTAAACAGCAGAACGTTAACGTTATACACACAGGCCAAGGTAAACTGTAAGACATGACAAACACAGGTGGAACTTATCATTCTCACCCTGTGTCTCCTGTAACTGGCGGCAAGGTTGCCTTCCCTATTCACAAACACACTGCACAGAGAAGGAAGCTGCACACACTTTGTAAAAGGGAGGTGGACACCAAGAAAACATGGGTATGGGGTAGGTGGAGCAACAATATTCCGAGCTGAAAACGGGACATCCATTAATATTTTGAGTTGAAAATGGGATACCCCATTGCTAAGTGAGCCAGTTTAACCCCAACCTTTTTTCTCTAGGTGACCTGGGTGAAAGGGTGAATAAATCACTCAAACAATAGTATTAAAACCCAAACCATTGTCACCACACACACACAAATTACGAAACAATATTCTCTTTAACTGCATTCCAAATAAAAAACGTACTATAGTAATAATGTCCGTTACCACATTTCATAGAATAAAAGCATCTAAGAGTATGAAATCTAATAAGGTCTAGAGATATAAGTGTATGTTCTATTTATTCTCCAGCCTTTTTCTATGCTTTTATAAAACAGGACAACTGGCAAAATGTAGCACAGATGGGACCTCCGGAATAAACTGAAAAAATTGCATGGTAAAAGAGGGTATCTTACTACCCCTATAGCCTTACAAAAATACTGGGGGTGGGGGGGGGGGCCCTAAAGGACCCCCCCCCCCGCCTCCCATATGTTTTCTCCTTTCAAAACTGACTTTTAGGTCGACAGCCTGAAATGAATACCAGGTAATGTCCTGGGAATTAAAAGCAACGGACTTGATTTAGACCATATTGAGCACCAATCTGCCTATAAAAGTACCGCTCCAACATAGTATGCCTGATGCTGCGCAAAGGGTATGAAAGAAGGGTCCCTGACATCTTTTATTACTTTCTATCCTGGTGTGGGTCTTGGAGCCCCTTGTTTGGAGGTGGGGAGGGGGGAGGTTGAGACCCACTGCCTCTGTAAAATGCATGTCATAAGAATTAAATAATTGAATAATTAGGGGTGCATCTGCCTCAAAGGCAAGGAAATAACAGTCTACATAGCAATAAGTCAGAGCTGTTAACCGGATGTGCACGCAAAACTCAAGTTCTGGAACAAAACTAAAGTCCAGAAGTGGACGAACAGCCAGAACTTCGCCCTGGATTTACAGCCAGTGAACGCAAAGAAGGAGAAGACGAAGATTTATCACAGTTTTACTTACACACTAAACTCCTTACCTGCATTAGCATGAGAGAACTCCACTGTTACTGTGTTCCCATAGATGTCCAGCAAAGCCCACAAGGGCTGCGAGGTGATCACGCCACTAAAGAAAATCCCTTTCTCTTCTCCATTAACCCCGTACGTGACATCGCCAGCCCTGTTGACGCTGAAATGCAACAAGATGTTGCTGGCTGTGTACCGTTCCCCCAAAGCCTTTGCCCAGTTGCCAGTTTTGTTGGTTAGGTCAGGGCAGGCGTAGCGCGGCAGGTCGCAGCCCCGGACAGTCATCGGGTTGACGCTGGTGAACCCGAAGCGCAGAACGCCGCTCCAGTTAGTGTTCGTCTCCACAAACTTCACGTACACCTGTGTCGCAGGACAAATATGATACTAGTAAAGACATCTTGAAAAAAAAAAAAAACTTACCCAGGGAACTTATTACCCACATCAGACAGTAGCAATCTACATTCTTGGTCAAACTATGAGAAGGGACGAATAAACGAACGAACAAACTTAATTTGTAAAGGGTTAAGAGCGGACACGCACGACCGTCTAACATTCTGCCCTTCGAGGTCTAACTCCGCTTTTATATCATTTCATTCAAACATCAAGTAATAGTAACATTATCTATAAGTAAAGTAAGTAAAGACCCCTTTTTACGTCTTAGGCACACCGGCCATATGGGAAGAGCATCCATATTTAAAAAAAAAAAACGCCGGCACTAGGTGGGTAATGTGGTCAGCATTACGCAGGCCGTCTTTACTTGGTACCCATTTTAGACCTGGACGACCTGCGACGCCCCATACCATGATAAAAATCTAGGATCAAAGTATTCATTACAAGCTCTGGAATGTGTACATTTTTAACTAAAGTAAGCCGTAGTAGTTGTAATAAATCAGGGGGAAATGTGCGCTATTTCTAAAATAGAGAGGGGCTAAAGAACTTACAGCCCTAGTTCGATTCCGGTTCGCCATTCAAGTAACATCACACGATTGCTGGCACTATATAAACAATCCAGGCAGGCAGAATGTCAAACATTACTACTCACTTTCACTAGGCAGCATCACAAATCTGCTAACGGTAGACTTATTCAGTATGCCTCCAACTCAGACCTTACCTCGTCTTACAGGTTAGCAGCCTATCCGACTACTGTCTATATATTCTACATTTGGCACAGTTTGGGAGCCGATATACCAGAATGTTTCAAGACTGAATATGACGAAACAAATTGACATTATACCCGGTGCTTTTGGGGAGGCATTTTTGGCTAAATAAGGACAGAACCGTTGCTTTCTAACATGCAGGTGGCAAAATGTGACCGAAACGGATATGTTGGGGCGAAAGGTGGAGAAATCGCATCCTAGTTATAAACTACAACACAAGGTGCCAAACGACTTTTTAAGGGCAAAGAAGAAGCAACAGCAGCAAGAGGAGTAGTAGTAGCTGAAGTAGTAGCAGTAGCAGCAGCAGCAGCATAAGAAGAAGAAGAAGAAATGTTTTACTGCTAACAAATTAGTTATTCAGTGTACCGGTTTTCTACTCCTGTCTAAACAAGAACAGTAATTCAATCCATCATATATCAAACAACTAGGGTGGTTCTCAAAAGGGATAATGCAGCCATTTCAGTCGATATACATACAGAATTAGGCAAGGTTTCTCCTTTGCAACAGACACCATGCCAACTGTGCGTGCCCATATATATATATATATATGTATATATATATATATATATATATATATATATATATATATATATATATATATATATATATATATGTGTGTGTGTGTGTGTGTGTGTGTGTGTATGAGAGAGAGAGGGAGAGAGAGAGAAAGAGAGAGAGAGAAAGAGAGAGAGACTGTAATAGTGGTGAATGCGCTTTCCTACCAAGGAAATGGTCATAGTTCAGTTCTCAACCTTTTTTTCTCCTTCTGTCCAGTGGGTCCTTGGAATTTACTCAGTTTTAAACAGACTACACCAGGCAATTTGCAGCATCCTCTGGCCTAACATGTCACACCCAAGATTAGTATCTGTTATGGGACAACAAACTCTTTCAGTACCAAACAACGTAACATGCGGGGCTTGATATTACTCATGGGCATCAGCTATGGAATGGGAGGTTGGGCAGATGCCTTGGGCGGGGTTTGGAGGGGGCGCCAAGACTTTCATCTGGAACGTCCACAATGAGTTTCATTTTGTTGAAGAAGGTTATAAGGGTGCGAGTATTCACATATATTAGCGCTCATCCCTTATCAGCACCGCTTATATTAGAAAAACACAAATACTTCTGTAGTCTCGTCAGACAAACTCAATTTCTGTTACAGTACCAGTACGTGTTTTTTAACTCCTTCGATCGCAAGAAATGCATCCTCTCTTTCGAACTCAAGAAATGCATCATGCGTTCATTGGTACTCAGCTATTATGTTTGATCGAGTCACATATAGTGAGCAGATGTCAGAGGTAATGAGGTAAGTGAAAGTTGATTCTGAGAGGAAAGAGGTCGGTGTTAAAGATTCCTTCCTTGGTTTTATCCAGATAAGCTAGACGGATGCTTAGAGCTTGATTACAGATATCTTGAACACTATCTTGAAGCAGCTAGGAAAAGATGAAACAAAACTAGAAGACTGTCGATCTCAGTGTTTTATGACAACACTGCTGTGATGGCTGGGCACAGAAGTGGTGTCCAACAAAGAAAAAGTGAGCCAAACCAGCTGGCTCTGTACATCGATTGTGATAATCACTTGCTCAACCTGTCAATGTACACACAGCTAAGTATGAGCCAATTATGGTGCCGTTTTTGAAACCATTTAAGCGTCCCAAGTGTATGTCTGTCGAAAATTGGTGGAGTACAAGGGCAGATGCTGGAAACCCTGTCAACAAATACTTTGAAGACATTCCGCGTGTCCACCAGGACATGATAGACAACACAAATGAGACCAGTGATGAAGCCTCGCAGATCTATAATAGCATGCTGAGTTTTGATTTTCTGACACTGTTTGGATTATATTACAAAATACTCATTTGCATTGGCTGTGTTCAAAAGAATCTACAGGATTCTAGCATAACTTGCTTTTCGACACATGCTTCGTTAATATAAATTTATGTTACCTTTAATGCCATTTCAATGGTTGGAAATGCATTCTGTCCGTTTTCCATAGTTGTGGAATAAGACACCTTTTTTTTGGTGGGGAAAGGGGGGGGGGGTGTTGCCTAGCTGAGCATGTTCTTAGTGCAATTGTTTCAATAGCGAGGCGCACACGCCGTCTGGAGGTGACAGGTTCGATTACCGGCATAGTATCTACAGCTTCCGATTTTTGATGTTGTCTAGTGTGTTCTTCTACCTTTCTACTTATTTCTACGAGTGCCGATCAATACATTTTCTGTTACTTTATTATTATAAAGGATTCTAGGATTAAATTTTCACGATGCTGCCCTGGATCTAAAAGCTCTTCGAGATGATTTTGACGAGAAACGAAATGAATGGGTCAGTGAATCACTAGAAAAAGGACTTAATCTTTGTGCAGAATGGAATGTTTAAGCAGAGAAGGGCCGGAGGTGAAAGAAAACAATGGCTTGTGAAAACGCATTAGATGCTGGGTTAATGGAGAAAGATTAAATTGATGGGGTCATGAAGGTAACATTCGACTGTCTTCACAGAGAAATGGCTGAAAGGTATACTCGTTTGCATGGCACAGATGCAAGTTTGGATTCCTTCTGGATGTTGATGGACTGTGTTATTGTTTAGATAAGGAACTAAACCAGAAAGGTGGAACTTTATGTCAACTTTACAGCTCTGATATTGATGACAATAGCTATATGAAAACATTTTTGACTGCAGAATGTTGCTGTTAAGTCGTACCAACATAAGAATAACATGACGTGAAGAACTTCTCAAGTTCACTGTTCAGAATGGAGATCCCGGTGTATTTCCGTATCTTTGCATCCGTATTCAAACAGTGCCAACCATTGCAGTTCCCACTGCTAGCTGAGAGAGATCTTTCAGTAAACTGAAGCCCATTCTTGTGTATTTAAGGGGATCTATGAGACTAGCCAGTGCAGACAGAGAAGACACTGGGAAAACTGACTATGAGCAGATGACAGACCAGTTCACATCAGTAAAAGCATGAAAATGCATTTGTAATTTTAAACTTTTTAAATTAAAGTGCCATAATCTGTTAATTAAAGATTTGCCGAATTGCTAAATTTATATAAAAAGAAATTAAAATAAGAATATAGTATTACTTATGACACTTAATGTGAGAAACTGCTGACCATAAAACACATGTCTGGAATTCGTACTAATGGCCTAAAAAGATAATTATTAATGTGACAGTTATTCACAACAACCTTGAAGTTTACACTGTGCTAATTACACACTTTAACAGTATACACCCAGTACATTTTACTATCCTTCGAATTTTACTTAATGAAATTAAACAGGCTTCCTAATTATGCACTACATTGTCCTCAGAAGTATCCCTAAAATTGAGCAACAGCTAATCAAATTTTCAAAAATTTCTGACTACCATCTCCCAGCCATTTCTGTCAATTACCCCCATGGCCGCTAAATACCCAGGCTACGCCCCTGGGCATCAGTCAACATGGTATTCGTTGTTACACAGCCTAGGTTTATCACGGCGCACTACTGCACTCCAACAGCATTTTTGTATCTTACTAGGAATATGAATTTAGCCCTTGCGGATCTTCGTGGACTCCGGTTAAGTTAAAGCCAGATGCTGCCTTTTGAAATAGTACCACCATCATGTGCCTTTGGCAACAATGAGTAGGCAAACAGTGTTTATATAGGTGAAGAACATCTATGATTTTACTGATATCGTTACTGCACACAGAATAAACATTTGGGAACCACTGGGCTGCTTCATACACCACATACATATACTTGTAGTTTTGAGAAGAGAGCAGAAAGTGCACTATTTATGCAGGGTGTTGCCGCTCAACGACTACGGATTGGGTTGTTAGTTTCGGGTTTCTACTTCCTCGCACTGGCATCACAGAAATCTATTTTGAAAGCTCTCACAGCAGAGGTTCAGGCAGACAATTTGTCAGACTTAACATTCGACTAACATACCCTTCGTTTCCGGGAAAGTTAAGGGGAGACCAGAACAGTAACAAAGTAACCTACTGTGCATGTCGTAAGAGGCAAACAAGTTTGTTTATTTGGGCTGGCTATTATAATCCTGTATTTATTATTTTTAGACTATGCTGTTTATAAAATAAAGAACATTTTATGGAATACATCCATGTTACTAGGAGTTAGGAAAATTATTCTCGCACGCGTTACAGAGCTAGTTTAACGTATGAATATAAATCCTGAACAATTAATAATCAGATCAAATAATTTCTTGAGGCTCTGGAGATGTGATTTTACAGGAGAATCTTTGGAATTCCTTAACCAGTCAAACAGAGCAATTAATATGTTCTGAAAGAGGCGACTATTTGAAGAAAACAAACATCAGACAAAGACCGTAATCAGTTGTTTTTTTTTAAGTCATGTTATGAGAAAAAAAGAGCGTGCTGTGAAGATTAGAAAGAGATCTATTGAAGTAGTTAGTAACCAAAGAATATGTAACAACCCTTATCTATCGAATTAGTAAAATCTGGAATAAATTACAGCGTTATCAATCGAAGTAGTAACCACAGAATATGTAACAACTCTTATCCATCGAATTAATAAAACGAGCAATAAATTAGTGTTATCAATCAAAAAAATTAAGACAAAATATGTAACAACCCTTATCCACTGAATTAGCAAACCTGCAATAAATTACAGCTTCATCTATCAAAATAGTAAACACAGAATAAGTAACAACCCTTATCTATCGAACAAGTAAACTTGGAATAAACTACAGCTACATCTATCCAAACTGTTTATTCGGCAGATGAACATCATGGCACACGTGTGTAACCCATAAGTGCTTTGTTCTACTTCTAACTCAAGAGTGAGTCTGAACAATCTCAGCACAGTGCATGAACTCTGTTGCACCGACAAGGATACTGACACAAAAACACAGAATATCTACCGAATTAGTCAGAAAACACAAAATACTTATGTAATAGCATAATCCAAACAGTTAGTGGTCATAAATAAAAACCAAATCTTACCTTTTCGTTGATGGCAATAGGCCTGTTAGAAAAGCAAATGCCCTTGCAGAAACTTTCGTATCGTCGGGCTCGAACCCTGTTGTTCTGCAGCTCAACGTTGTCCCCGTGTGTGTCGTGGAACTGCAGAGGCGGGTCAGACCCAAACAAATTTAAGTCGCCAGGGACATCTGCAGAAAAAAAAAACACGATTAAATGTTTAAAGTAAGTTTTTTTTTTAAAGGGCTCATAAATAGCGATTAGATAGCAGAGAGTTCTGGTTTGTTTATCCACTTCTTGCTGGTGTTGTTCCAGAAATTGAGTTTCTGTGCACATCTGTTTGTACAGATCTGGCATATTTGTGATGCAGACTGTTGGTTTCTAGCCTCTCAGGTAGATGGACTCAAACCTCGAAGGAAACACACCTATCTATTCACCCTTAATGAAATGCTTGTTAAGAGAAAATGGGTCTATCCAACATGTTAGCTTTTTTGTGTGTGTGTGTGCTCTATGCTGATTACGTAACAATGCACCTCTGACCAGGTTAACGGTATAGGGCGGCGATGAAAAGTTGCCTGATCATAGACGAAGATTGCCTCTTTGGATTCCATGCTGTGATTCATAGCATTTTTGTCTTAGCCATTTAAAAAAAAATCAGTCTCATTATCTAATTGTCGGACCTTGTAAAATTATTTTCGTTGCTACATTATAACTTTAGTGAACATGTGTTTTCCAATGGTCTTTGGCAACCCCCGTGAAAGGGTTTTCGACCACAAAAGGGTCGCTACCCACAGGTTTTAAAATTATTATTGGGTGGAAAAGAAACAAATCAGATGGAACCCAATCCGACTTCAACGATGGTGGATTCTGTGTGTCCTATCCCTTGGTCTTTTATAGTTACATAAGAATATATATATATATATATATATATATATATATATATATATATATATATATATATATATATATATATAAACAGAGAGAGAGAGGAAAGAGAGAGAGAGAGAGAGAGAGGAAAGAGAGAGAGAGAGAGGAAAGAGAGAGAGAGAGAGAGAGGAAAGAGAGAGAGAGGAAAGAGAGAGAGAGAGAGAGAGAGAGAGAGAGAGAGAGAGAGAGAGAGAGAGAGGAAAGAGAGAGAGACGTATATTTTAGTTTGTCGTGTATTCATCTGTACTGTCAGTGGTTTATTTCTATTTCTATTCGTTGTTGTCTCCCGGACTTCCAGGTTACCAACGTGTTATATGTCATGTTATACCCTGACATGTGCCCCCCCCCGCCCCCTCCCCCCCACACACACACACGAAGAAGTGAACAGACTGTCTTGGTAAGGACCAGCCTTCGAATGGATCAATGTGTGCCATCATAAAATGTGCAGGTCGTGCAGAAGCAGACATACTAGATGACAGGACATTTGCATGTCCTCCAAGTGACATTACAAGTCAACAACAGCCGTTAGTACATGTTACAGCGGTTGAGGGTTTTATATAAATATATATATATATATATATATATATATATATATATATATATATATATATATATATAGAGAGAGAGAGAGAGATACACAAACACACACACACAGAGAAAATATAAGGTTATCTGCCATTCTCTTTATATGCCCTTACCATCGGGGTCTATTAACCCTCGCGATATCAGTGTAAATTATGAGTTTCGTTGTTTGTTTCTTACTCTTCAGGTCTCAGGAGACAAGAATAAATACTGTACTAAAAATCAACTGATAATAAAAGGGGAGAGTCGGAACATAAATATTATTTATAACAAATGTCTGCATAGATGAATCAATGTAGATGTAGGTGAAATGAAAGAAAATCTAAACAGCACAACATAAAATACGACAAGAACCTTTACGAATTGAAAGAAAAGATGTACACAGATGCAATTATACATTCGATCAAGGTCTCATCAACAATTAACACAATAGGAATTAAACCACACAAACAATGACTAAAGACAAAATTACAGAATTATTCGCGTCACAGGGAGCCTATCATCATCATGTAGCGGGTACTTTGCAAAACATCGCTCTCTGCGCGGTATTTTTTTTTTTTTAAGGACCCGTTTCCATGCCTCTTAAGCGTATTGGGTATATAGGGCTAGACCTATATTTTATAGCCCAACAGCACAAGGTGGGTGATGTGGTCAGCGTCACTTCCCAGGACTGCACCAGGTACCCACTCAAGGCTGGGTCGACCTGAGAACCAAGGTCATTTTTGAAAAAAAGTCCGGCTCCGGCAGGGGGCGAGCCCACGACATTCCGATCCGCAAGCGAGCGTCTAGCCGCTTCGCCACGGCGACTCCGTCTCATCGGGGTGTGCCTGAAAAAAAAACCTCGGTCTTTCGCCAGCTCTTACGCGGCGTGCACTCTCATCTCCAAGGAGTCACTTACGTCATGTGCCCATCTTCGTGCTGGTCGGCCCCTACCCCTCTTTTCTGGCTCCATGACAACCAGCCCATGGCATTAGAAGGAAAAAAAAAACCTGGCTTTACTGCCAGTGTTACCATTTTGTGTATGGCGGTGTAGGACGGGTTGGAAGATGGGGGGGGGGGGGCAAAGATTCTTGATTCTGAGGATTCAGGGCCGCATGGCTGGTGCCTTCGCCATATATTAGGCAGGTTAAGATTATAAACTATCTCCTGAAAAAAAAAAAAAAAAAACTTCCCCAACTTAAGCGACGTCTCGGCCAGTCGCTACTCAACACGATAAAATACTTGTTAACTCTTTCATTACCAAGCAGCTGTTGAGCTTAAAAAGAATATAAAAATAAACAATACTGAATTCCGAAGGAGTTCAACAGAGATACTATGGGACAGTGGTGGTTAAACTAATAAATCCGTTACAATACGGGTAAATTAACTCTCGAACATGGTAGAAGACAACAATAACATTTTATCACCTTGGAAAGATCAAGAAACGTATTCTACGTTGTTTGGTATTGACAGAGTTAATTATGGCGCGAACTTGCTTAACTCAAACAAAAACATCCACTACCTTCAAGATGGAGCGAAAGACGACTTCCTTTCAGCCTTGGCAACAACTGTGGTCTGGTAACAAGAATGTGGCTGGACAGACTGCCTTTTGGCCACGAGGTTTCAGTATATGAAGACGTCACCTCAAAAGACTGAGATCGTTTCAGCTCATCCCGTCTTCGTCCGGTATCCAAAAGTCCCCGCTGTTGTCCCAGTAATAATTCGTCAGCCGTCAATGCACCGATGGCAACAGGTTCTGACTGTAGGCGAAACAATTTAGGTTTCGATCCAGTAGTAACAGATGCATCAACGTTATATCCACCAATCTGTTGGATTCTGCTTGAATGTGACTGCTGGCTTAATGTATCGTACGATTCATAATCCGTGCTGATGCTGGATTTGTTTGTTTCAGATGTGTACTCTGCTGGAGTCTCGACAGAATCGTCTAGTTTCTGACCTAACTGATGGGTTGACATTCTACGTTCTAATCTTCGCGGTAACGATAAGCCTTGCGGCAAAATGTCAGTGTCCGGAATCGTGTCTTCAACTTTCGCACACTTCGAGTACAGAGGTCCAGATTCGGACTGAATATTTATACCTTCTGACGGCATGGAATCCTGGCGTTGGGCTGGTGACTCCTGAGAACAACATTTAGTCTGTTCGTACGAGAAAGTCCTCTTTTCTTCAACATCCCCTGAACGTGAATCCGACTGCTCAAACCAAGTGGATTCAAGACGACTTTTATATGGAGTCGAACTTTCGAAGCTTTCTGGTTGAGAACCTCCTAGGAAATGCGACAGGTCCAACGTTTCTGAGCGTTCAATCAAAGAGAGACACTCTCGAAATGGCGATAACGGCACCGATGAACGATCAAGAGGCGGCGACCTCTGAATATCTGAAACATCAGAGGTCGCAGAGCTTCCATCGCTACTGGAGCTCAGAGAAATCCGTCGCAATGTCTCCTCTGCTGAAGAAGCAGAACTAAAGTGCTGAGATATAGTGCTGAACTGTTCACGTGAGACCAAATCCTGCTGTGTCCCAGGCAACAGTTGTGATATTTCATCCTGGTGGCTAGACATTTCAGCTATATCAGTCTGCTCTGATACGGGCAACTGCTTGTCGCTTCCGTCCGCGCTTGCAACTCTTTGATGAGGGTCTTGCCCCCTAAACACACAAACGTGTTCAATTATACAATTCTCCAAATTGTCAACGATTCCCATAGCCAAGTGTAAGAAACAACGAACAACGCCTACACAAGACGGTATCACTGCTTCGTTCACTCAATATACTGTGAAGCCCAGAACATGTTACTGTACCCATAATCGAAGCCATGAATTGAAACAAGCGAGTTTTCAAAATTAATCACAACACGACAAAAATGTAGATTTTTCTCTATTGTAAACAATGAATGAAAATGTGGATTTTTCTCTATTGTACACCTCGACACAAAGAATGAAAGTGTGGATTTTTCTCTATTCAAGCCTTGATGCAACAAAAGTGGATTTTTCTCTATTCAAGCCTTGATGCAACAAAAGTGGATTTTTCTCTATTACATGCCTCGATACAATAAAAGTGTGGATTTTTTCTTCTACACGTCTTGACACAGCGAACGAATAGTTTTCTCTATCACACGCATCAACATAATAAACGTGTGGTTTTCTCTATCACAAACCACGACACAATGAGAGGCTGGTTTTCCCTAGTACAAACCACGACCGTGAAAGTGCGGATTTTTATATCACAAGCGACAATACCATGAAAGTGTGTATTTCTCTATCACGTGCCACGATACGATGAATATGTGTATGTTTCTCCAGTGAAAGCCACGATACGATGAAACAGTGCGTTTTTCTACAACAAATCATGATGAAAATGCATATTCCCTTATCACATAACACGGTAAAAGTGTATTTCTTAATCAGGAGACACAATGAAAGTGTGGATTTCTCAACCAGACAACAAAATGAAAGTATCGTTTTATGTATCACAAGCACAACCAGCCATAGAACAAATTCTGTACCCCGCCTGCTGAACAACTTTTTCAGCTCATATAGGAACCTGTAACCAGAAAGCCTACATGCCTACCTATGTGTAGTGACCTCAGGTAACGCTTCTGATCATGGTTTCTGTCTTTACCTGCCACTCCCCCACCCCCTCTTCATCTCTTACACTTGCATATATTTGCTCTTTCTCTCTCACCTTTCTCTCTCCCTCTCTCTCTCTCTTTGCATTACTCACAAGTGCACGCATCTGTTTACCCTCTCTAGCTCTCACACGTGAATGCCTCTATTTACCTTGCCTTCTAAACAACACTTTAGCCATCTGGATAATCATATAATCTACTTGAAAATTATATACATTTATACAAGACTTAATTACATACGGTAAGCAACTGTACTAAGTAACAGCACCTTTTTATGCATTTTTTTAGCACTAGTTTAATATCAGAAACAAGAAAGAAATTAAAAATGGAAATTAGTGACGAGGGGTATGGTTTTACAGAAAAGAAAAGTTACAGAAGGTAAAAGTAAAAATATAGCAATATACACATTGCGAACGTTAGTAGAGAGATGACTGGAGAAACAGAAAGACATATATTTGTGCTTCATAAATTATACCAAACCTTTTGATCAAGTGAAATATGATGAAATTATAAAATTGTTAGAGGATATTAACACTGATGCACAATCATCATCATCAGTTCTCGTTATGCCTAGTGGCATATGAGGCTTCAGAGAAGTCTTTCCCTGCTTTCCTGTCCTGTGCAATCTTCAGTGCAGTTTTCCATGTCAAAGATGCCGCACTCAGGTCACTTTCCATCGTTCGTCTCCATGTTGTTTTTGGGCGCCCCTGTTTTCTCTTTCCCTCTGGTGTCCATGTGAGAGCTGTTTTGGCGGGTATATAAGGATTCATTCTCATAACGTGGCCAAGCCATTCCATCTTCTCTTACTGATGCAAAAGATCTCAGAATTACTAAAAATAGTTGGAAGCAAGAAGCAGCAATTAAATTGTGAAACTTGGCTGTTATGAACAGATGAAGCAAGAATTAAGACAAGGATGTGTTTTGTCACTAGATCTCTTCTCTCGCTATAATGAAACAATAATGAGGGAGGTCAGGGATAGATCAGGAATACTAGTTGGAGGTCCTAGTATAAACAATCTTCGTTACGCAGATGATACAGTATTAACAGCCGAAAAAAGACCTATAATAGCTTTTAGACATTGTGGTACTAGAGAGTACAAAAAAGGGACTCTCCTTGAATGTCAAGAAAACAGAAACAATGGTCATTTCAAAGAAGAATATAACTCCAAAATGTTACATAGCAATAGAAGAGAAAGTGCTTAATCAAGCTAATAAATTCAAGCATTTGGGAACATTCACATCAGATGGATGATGTGTGACAGAAATAAAGAGCACAATTGGCCAGCAAAGTCAGCTTTTCAGAAAAGGAAAAGTATTTTATTTAATAAATCACTCTCATTAAACATCAGAAAACGAGCATTGAAATGTTATATCGAGCATGTTCTGTTTTATGGCAATGATTCTTGGAATGTGAGCAAACTAAGAAAAGTTTGGAGGCAACTGAGATGTGGTTCTTGCGAAGAATGCTGAGAATACCTGGGACTGCCAGAATAACCAACACTGAATGCCTAGAAATGGTTTATGAAAGTAGAACATTATATACAACAATGAGAAGAAAACAGAGTTCTTTGGTCATGTGATGAGAAAGGAGGCACTGGAAAATATCCTGACTGGAAAGATCACTGGTAGAAGTGGCAGACCAAGAGAAATGATGGTGGCTGGCTTAAGACAATTGCATGGGGAAATACCCTCAGTAGAATTAATCCGAGTATGCAATGATTTTTGTATTAAATGACCTCAATTGGTTGTCTTGTGTGGCCCTCATGACGACACAAAATGGCCCTCGTGGGACCCTCAGTTTGACATGCCTGTTTACAGGACGCTGCAGAACCAATCCCAGCATATTTCTGGCCGTTTGTGGTTTTACTAGGCGATTTTACTTTCAGCAGTTCTAGAATTCAAAGGAAATTAAAAACTAACATTAAACTTAATTTTGCTTTCTAATTCTAATGTCAAATCAATACTGTTGTATGGAGCCGAAATATGGAGAACAACTAAAACAATGCATGAATAAACTACAAACGTTCATTAACCGGCGCCTTCGCAGAAAAGAGAAAATTAAGTGGTACGATAGATCACTGATGCTGAGCTTTGGTACAAAACTAAACTCGAGTGTCAAGAGTGGAAGAAACGATGATGGTGTTGGATAGGACACAAGTTGATAAAACCTAAGAACAATATTATATATATATATATATATATATATATATATATATATATATATATATATATATATATATATATATATATACAGTAGAACCTCGCTTAACGAGCACCTCTCATAAGGAGTAATTCGCATAACGAGCAAAACAAATTGTAAAAAAATGACTCGCTTAACGAGCGACGTTTCGCATAACGAGTGGCGAGGAAAGGGGAAGTTCCGGATTTTGCCATGATACATCAATGTTTAGCACTCTTTCTAGTAGCATTGTCGCTTGTGATCACACATTTTCTCAAACTTGTGTTATATTGTGATATATGTACATGAATCCTCCACGCCTACAAGATGACCTCCCTGTTGAATTTAAGTTAATCAAGATCCAATTTCTGCCTCCCAACACCACTCCGTTACTCCAGCCCATGGACCAGCAAGTCATTTTTAACTTTAGGAAGCTCTACACTAAAGCACTCTTCGAGCATTGTTTTCAGGTGACTGAAGGGACCAACCTCACTCAATGACTTTTGAAAAAAATCACTTCTACATCGTTGCCTGCCTCAAGATGACCGACAAGGCGAGGGAAGGGGTTACCAAGAGAACCCTAACTTCTTCTTGGAGGAAGCTTTGACCGGAAAGTGTTGTCGATTTGTGACTTTTAGGGGTTCGACACAGTACATGTGGAACCTGTAGTCAACGAGATTGTGTCTTTGGTCACTATCATGGGATTGTAGGTGGATAACAGAGATATCGAAGAGCTTGTGGAAGAGCACAACCAAGAGCCGACTACCCAAGAGCTTATGGAGTTGCATTGTGTTTCACAGCAAGACGTTTTGGAGGAAAGTTTGTTAGAGGAGGAGGAGGAGGTAACAGAAAAGCAACAATCTTCTGGCGAAATAAGAAAAATGCTGAAAGCATGGCAAACTGTTGCTTCTCACACTGAGAAGCATCACTCTAACAAGGAAGTGGCTAGGCGCTCTGCAAATTTAATGACAATGCTGTGTCGCATTTTCGTCAAATCTTTCTAGTAAAAAAAAAAAAAAAAATTAGCTATGTGTCATAATTATTTCGACTTTTTTTTTCTCCAATTTAAATTCGCATTCCATGTGGGTTCGTTCAGCGTTTAAAGAAAAGACGATTCACTCTCCTTAAATATGTATATAATTTTCTTTGAATAAATGTTACAGTATAACTTTTACATAACATTTTGTGAGTATTTTTTTTTTTTTCGACATCGAACGCATTATCGCATTTTACATTAATTTATATAAAAAAAATTGCTTTGCATAACGAGTGTTTCGCTTAACGAGTATGATTCTGGAACGAATTATGTCCGTTAAGCGAGGTTCCACTAATATATATATATATATATATATATATATATATATATATATATATATATATATATATATATATATATAATGTCATATGTAATATAATATATAATGTCTTTGCACTGGAACACTCACAGTGGCATAAAAATAAAGACAGACTAAAAAATATAATTTAAAAAAACAAAACAAGAATGGATCTAGAGAGTGAAGTTAAAATGTTACTTAGGACATTGGGGTGAGTTGCATGCAACAACAAAGGATAGGACGACTCTCGTGAGTTGTTTAAGGGGCATATGCTCCAGTGGGGGATAAAGGGCAGAAGAAAAAGATGAAGTCCCCGAAAACTTTGGTGCTCGAAGACAACGCAAAACGGTCTGATGCCACAACGCCTGCATCTAGAATCGAACCGAATATTTCGAAATTACTTAACGCGTTGGCAACGTTCAAGTCCCTGACGCAGACTGATAGCTCAGCGATACAACGGGAGAACGATCACAAAAATGCACACCACAGCCATAAAGCGCAGGCTATATTAATCGCAAACAAGCTCTGCATACACAACCTGGAGAGAGGCGTATGAAAGTTAAT